ATGATGAGAGGTGGCATTTGAAAGGGTGAGTAGAAGTGACAAAAAACATGAGAAGCACCCGGGTGCTGAACGAATATGGTGTGGCCCCCGTCATGCTGCATAGCGAATGGGGCGTTGTGCTGAAGCACGGTCATAGAGGTGGCAAGCAATGATAGCAAGGGAACAAGTGAGAGGTGCACATGCAAGCAAGGTTCAAAATTACGGTTTTCGTAAAATACGGTCCGTTTTTTACGGTCGTTTTGTACGGTATTTAAAAAAAAAAACGGCCGTTTTTTTGTTAGAAAACTCTGTTCACCAAGAAAAAAAAATAGAAAAACAAGGTCAAAAACATTTTCAATCATGCCAACAAGCGCATACATGCAAGAAGGGGTCCATCCCCTTCATGCTGCTGCATTTCGGGTTCAATTTGGTCCCACTAAGTGGCCGCTTTGTTAGTTATAGAGGAAACACCTCCTGGAACCGTTTTAAACCGTTTTTTACGACCGTTTTTTACGGTACCATTTTTTACGGTAAAATTTCAATAAAACGGTCGTTTTTTTTAACCCTGCATGCAAGCAGAGACGCAAAAGTGGGCATGCGTGGATGGGGCGAGAGGGGCTCGCACAGGAGCGCACGTAAGCCTGTAAAAACGAATACGAATACGAATACGAATATCTTTTTCTGAATATTTTTTCTGAATATTTTCCAGATACTGTCTGTTTTTTATTTGACCGAATACTGACCCAAAAGCGAATACGAATACGATTAGAATACTGCCGAATCCGAATCGAATACGATGAAGTGACGAATAATAAACTTTGTATCGGCAGTGTCGAACAGCTAATGCATGTTCGACACAGGGTGATACTGTGTACCTTATACTACCAACAACACGACTCAGTCAAGCATCACGCGCTTTCCCTAACCCCTCAACAGCAACTATCTTGCTCGACTTTTGGGCATGGCTCTCATGAGGCCGCTTGTACACAGATTGCTAACGATGACAGCCGCATGTAGGGTAAGTATGAGAGGGGGTTGATGGTAGAATACCGAATAGTAACGAATACCCCGAATATTCGTTTCCCAAATAGCAACGAATACTCGTGATGCAAATGTTTTCGAATACACGGTCGTTTCCTATTCTCTCAAATCCAGGTATTTGAACGAATATCGAAAAATTATCGAATACCAAATATTCCTTTACAGGCTTACGCACGAGGGCGTTAAAGAGAAGTGGGTCGGGCGGGCGTGCATCGTGCAGAGTGGAGAAGTCGCGGATGGCCGCCCAGTAATCGTGAACGTGGAAGTGCAGCGTGCCTGCCATGAAACCACGTGCATGCAGCAGCACCGCAACAAAAACTCCAAGTTGAGCAAAGAACCAATATGTAATGTGTTTCTGCCAAAGGCTCAACTCGACCCGCTACTGGTTCGAGTCAAACCGTTCGATTCATTTCAAATTGGACCAGCAGAAGCACATAGAACTGAACCGGTTCGACACGAATGTTGATGCAACTTCAAGGTTTGCACTTGGCTTGTTGTCCTTGTGCGTGCGTATGTGTTTGCATGAAATGGTATGACAGCATGAGATGACCTATACTTCATGTTTCTTTGAGTGTGTGAATGATGAGTCTTGATAACAAATGTTTGTGTTAAACCAATAGCGAGTTTTCTTAGTTGCGTGTCACGTTGTCGTTTGCGTGTCGTTGTGCCTTTTCTATTTTCTCGTGTGTCGAACATTTGGCGTGTCGCGTGTGTCAGTAGCAAGGTTCCAGTAACCCATGGAAGATTTTATATTGAAAAAGCAGAGCCTCAATTTCATGATTCAAGAGATTTCGGAGCTAAAAAACAAAAATAGACATCAAGATAGTGAAAATAGGTACATGGCATTCGAGACTTTTCGTGGTTGGGAACTGTGTGACACTGTTTTACCTCACTGGATCTCGGCTCTTGGGGTTTGTAGAGGCTTGGAGTCATTGCCAACTCGAGCTTCTTCATAGATATCCTAAGACTATACCTCGTACAATAGTGTCGCTCGTTCAAACTTATACCACGTCGTCATTTTTTTATAAAAATGAATGTTACAACTAGCCTATTGTAGACGGCGTTAAGGCCCTCCATATCGTATATATAGCACATCATTTAGTGTTGTGACCAGTTCGCTATCAAAGTTTGAAACCGCTCTGCAGAAATCCGTTTGTGCACTCTATTGTGACATTTGAGCATATTTTGCCTATAACAACAAAAACGGTCCCGACTGGCCACAAAACCCTAATTAGGGTTGCTGTAGCTCTTTGACTTTTGAGACGACTCCCTCCATACGATTTTCCGTATCGTCAAAAACGAAATTGATCAGGAAACAACTCCTAGCCGTTCTTTACTTGGTAGAGTAGCAGCAGTTACATGTTAGTGTAGCAATTATCACTAGCGACTCGAACTGATACGATTGTGTTTTTGCCAGAATCGGTTCGCAAATTATGTGTCGTGTAGGAGGATACCCATCTCATCATATGTTACCATCCAAGTCGAGTGGGTCGACCTTGAACCTGGGCCCACCTGTTTTGGTCTCACAACACCAACACACTGTCAAAACGCAAACACATATACACATTTCGCCCGCCAACGAAGACGTACAACAACGCCGGCACACTAGGAATAACCAAAAGTCGGGTCACCGGTGGCGGGCAGGGCCGTGCTTTTTGTCCGGGCCAGGAGACGCTCAGAATATGGGCCCGCGTCGGTCTGGCCCAGCCCTGTGGACAGCTCGGGCACGGCCCACCTCTTTTGATCAGGCCGGCCCGGACCAATTTTTGGCCCGGGGCGGGCCAGATGATTGGTGTGCGCGACCCGAGCCGCGCGTGTCACATGCAATTTTCCAGGCCATCTACGGCTATCTGGGTGAGAGGAATGAGACGGGAAGAGAGCAAGTATGTGTGAGAATGCAAGTCCATGTGGGAGCGCAAGTCTGTTCGAGGGTGCAAGTCTGTGTGAGGGTGCAAGTCTGTGTGAGGGTGCAAGTCTGTGTAAGGGTGCAAGTCCGTGTGAGGGTGCAAGTTTGTGTCAGCGTGCAAGTCTGTGTGCGTGTGCAATGTGTGAGGGTGCAAGTTTGTGTGAGAGTGCAAATCTGTGTGAGAGTGCAAGTATGTGTGAAGATGCAAGTATGTGTGGGTGTGCAATGTGTGAGGGTGCAAGTCTGTGTGAAGGTGCAAGTATGTGTGGGTGTGCAATGTGTGAGGGTGCAAGTCTGTGTGAAGGTACAAGTATGTGTGGGTGTGCAATGTGTGAGGGTGCAAGTCTGTGTGAAGGTGCAAGTATGTGTGGGTGTGCAATGTGTGAGGGTGCAAGTCTGTGTGAAGGTGCAAGTATGTGTGGGTGTGCAATGTGAGAGGGTGCAAGTCTGTCTGTGTGAGGGCGCATATCTGTGTGAGGGTGCAAGTCTGAGTGAGAGTGCAAGTCTGTGTGGGGCACCATGTCCTGACCCTTCAAATCTCATATCGATTTCCCATGTGTGTCTTTGAAAGAATGGGCGTCTCTACAAATATGAGTGCACTATGCATGTCTGCATTGTGGTCGCATTCCCGCAGCACGACCGCTAATCACCGGCATGGGCAAGAGGAGAGAGGTGAGCAGCGGTGCATGGCGGCATGGCAAGAGGAGAGAGGTGAGCAGCGGTGCATGGCGGCATGGCAAGTGGAGGTAAGACATTGAGGGCATTGGCAAGGGGATAGGCAAGGGAGTGACAAGGGACGAAGACAAGGGGATTGCATGCGTCGTCTCACGTTTATTGCATCTTGTGCATCCACACTACACACACTGGTGTGTTATGATGCAGTCAAGTCATCTAGTCGAGCCACGGTGGCTTAGCCACCCACCCACCCACTCATGCCAACCACTCCCAATCATGCAATGCTATGCAATGCCATGCCATGTCATGCCCCGCCATGCTGTCCCATATCATGCATGCATTTCAATGCCACCCATGCGCACGGCATGGTGCATGGCGTAGGCGATGGCGGACCTCTCTCGCTCGCTGGACCTCGACCCCGCCAACCAAGAGGCGCTGCTGCACCGAGGTGATGCCCACTCACACGCACGCTTAGGAGCGCGTGCAGCAAGCCTCGTCGCCTCCAAAGCTCCGCACTGCTGGGAAACAGTTTCACCCCCTGCCAAAGGGGGACGGCATGCCAGGCGGAGACAGCATGCCAGGCGGAGACAGCATGCCAGGCGGACACAGCATGCCAGGCGGACACAGCATGCCAGGCGGAGACAGCATGCCAGGCGGAGTCAGCATGCCAGGCGGAGTCAGCATGCCAAGCGGAGTCAGCATGCCAGGCGGAGACAGCATGCCAGGCGGAGTCAGCATGCCAGGCGGAGACAGCATGCCAGGTGGAGACAGCATGCCAGGCGGAGTCAGCATGCCAGGCGGAGTCAGCATGCCAAGCGGAGTCAGCATGCCAGGCGGAGACAGCATGCCAGGCGGAGTCAGCATGCCAGGCGGAGACAGCATGCCAGGCGGAGACAGCATGCCAGGCGGAGACAGCATGCCAGGCGGAGTCAGCATGCCAGGCGGAGTCAGCATGCCAGGCGAAGAAGGCATGGCCATGACAGCTATGTTGCGAAAGACACGTCCTGCGTCCTGGACGCATGCGTCCAGACGCAGGACGCAGCACCAGGACCAGAAAGACGCACCAAAAGACGCAAGCCCGGGCAGGGCAAAAAAACCCCCCGGGCAGGCAAAAACAATTGTTATAGGGCATGGGAAGAGGGGGGGGGGGGGGGACGTTCCACACTTTAAAGGCAAATTTGGCCCCAACAACAATTTTTTCCCCCAAAACTCAAGATTAAGGTGAGTCACGTCACGTCACACACATAACGGAGTTAAGCTAGTAAGCTAAAACCTCTAGGGTTTTCGAAAGAGAATTGGGTGGGTGGGTAAAATGAGAAACCACAAATGACTTGGTTGCATTGCTAAATGGGCTTGGTGGTGGGCCACAAAGGTTGGGTTTTCTAGATGTGAAGTGGTTGAGAGGTTTGAGAAATTCAAGTTTGCATGAAGGGTTATGAAATGTTGGGGGGCCTGTTTTAGAATGTCGATTTGGGCAAGGGGGGGTCGAAATTTCGCGATTTCGACATTCGCGTCGAAATCGCAAAAGTGAATTTCGCGATCGGGAATTTTTTTTTTTTGGGCAGCCCGAAAAAAAAATCGATGTGCGTCCTCCCTGCGTCTTTCTCAACATAGTATGACATCATGACCACGACAGCATGGCCATGACAGCATGACCATGACAGCATGACCATGACAGCATGACCATGACAGCACAGGAGCGTTTGCTTTCTAGCTGACCGCACCTCTTAGCCAAACTTTAATTCTAGCGTATGGAGAGTCTGACGCATGGTGCGTGCAATGCAACTCCATCCCAAGGCATTACATGCAGCCTCCCTTCTCAACCGCAGCTGGCATGCCCTCCCCAACACTTTTTACAAAAACATAAACAATCACACCTTAAAAAAACAATGTACGACTTTCCTTGCAGGCCGAACCATGTACCAGTTCGAGTCAATCTGATTCGAACAGGTTAGTCGAACTGGACAGCCAATCAAACACGTTATAGCGATTCGATTTAACGCTCTTCGGCATGGGGAACTGGGCATGAGCAACGAATCAGGTCGGGTCGGTCGAACCGCTGGTCGGCTCGATACGACCAGGTTGACCCGACCCGTACCGACCCGGCTCTCCATGCGGGGCACTTAAACCCGTTCGACCAGTTCGATTCGAACGTTGTCCAGTTGGAGTAAAACCGGACAACCAGACAAAAGCAGTTCGAATGCTGTCCGAGGAGAAGTGGAGCGTGGTTTGCTTGTGTGCTCCTCATGTTAACGTCTAAGCCCACTGTGACTATAACAGCACCTACTACTGCCCCCCAGCCACTGCCCTGCAAACAAGCAGCAGAGTCGTGGCTGGCAGCAGCAAGGCTGAGCCTGGCAGCAATAGCACGAGTGTGGGTGGCAGCAGCAGTGCTGGTGTGGGGGGCCAGCAGCAGTGCTGGTGTGGGGGGCAGCAGCAGTGCTGGTGTGGGGGGCAGCAGCAGTGCTGGTGTGGGTGGCAGCAGCAGTGCTGGTGTGGGGGGCAGCAGCAGTGCTGGTGTGGGTGGCAGCAGCAGTGCTGGTGTGGGGGGCAGCAGCAGTGCTGGTGTGGGGGGCAGCAGCAGTGCTGGTGTGGGTGGCAGCAGCAGTGCTGGTGTGGGTGGCAGCAGCAGTGCTGGTGTGGGTGGCAGCAGCAGTGCTGGTGTGGGTGGCAGCAGCAGTGCTGGTGTGGGTGGCAGCAGCAGTGCTGGTGTGGGTGGCAGCAGCAGTGCTGGTGTGGGTGGCAGCAGCAGTGCTGGTGTGGGTGGCAGCAGCAGTGCTGGTGTGGGTGGCAGCAGCAGTGCTGGTGTGGGTGGCAGCAGCAGTGCTGGTGTGGGGTGGCAGCAGCAGTGCTGGTGTGGGTGGCAGCAGCAGTGCTGGTGTGGGTGGCAGCAGCAGTGCTGGTGTGGGGGGCAGCAGCAGTGCTGGTGTGGGGGGCAGCAGCAGTGCTGGTGTGGGTGGCAGCAGCAGTGCTGGTGTGGGTGGCAGCAGCAGTGCTGGTGTGGGTGGCAGCAGCAGTGCTGGTGTGGGGGGCAGCAGCAGTGCTGGTGTGGGTGGCAGCAGCAGTGCTGGTGTGGGTGGCAGCAGCAGTGCTGGTGTGGGTGGCAGCAGCAGTGCTGGTGTGGGTGGCAGCAGCAGTGCTGGTGTGGGTGGCAGCAGCAGTGCTGGTGTGGGTGGCAGCAGCAGTGCTGGTGTGGGTGGCAGCAGCAGTGCTGGTGTGGGTGGCAGCAGCAGTGCTGGTGTGGGTGGCAGCAGCAGTGCTGGTGTGGGTGGCAGCAGCAGTGCTGGTGTGGGTGGCAGCAGCAGTGCTGGTGTGGGGGGCAGCAGCAGTGCTGGTGTGGGGGGCAGCAGCAGTGCTGGTGTGGGTGGCAGCAGCAGTGCTGGTGTGGGTGGCAGCAGCAGTGCTGGTGTGGGTGGCAGCAGCAGTGCTGGTGTGGGGGGCAGCAGCAGTGCTGGTGTGGGTGGCAGCAGCAGTGCTGGTGTGGGGGGCAGCAGCAGTGCTGGTGTGGGTGGCAGCAGCAGTGCTGGTGTGGGTGGCAGCAGCAGTGCTGGTGTGGGGGGCAGCAGCAGTGCTGGTGTGGGTGGCAGCAGCAGTGCTGGTGTGGGTGGCAGCAGCAGTGCTGGTGTGGGTGGCAGCAGCAGTGCTGGTGTGGGTGGCAGCAGCAGTGCTGGTGTGGGTGGCAGCAGCAGTGCTGGTGTGGGTGGCAGCAGCAGTGCTGGTGTGGGTGGCAGCAGCAGTGCTGGTGTGGGTGGCAGCAGCAGTGCTGGTGTGAGGGGCAGCAGCGGTACTGAGGTTGGCAGCAATAGGTGTGGGAGGCAGGGGGGCACGCACGGTGGAGAAGTCGGAGAGGGCGAGGCGGTGGTGGCCCAGCAGCGAGTGCGCGATGCCACGCCCCACCAGCACCGCCTCCCTCACCTCCTCCTCCCGCTCCACCTGCTCGCCGCCATGCCCAGGGGGTGGGGGAGAGCAGGGGGCAGGGGGAGAAGAGAACGGCGTGGCGCATGGGAGGTTGGGTTGGGTGCAGGGAAGGGATGAACGGAAAGGAGATGGTGATAGGGGAGTCAGGGAAAGACAAGAATTTGAAGAGTGGAGTGGGTGGGGTGATGACAGGATGGAATGGTGATGCATCTGATGGTGCATCTGATGGTGCATGTGATGGTGCATGTGATGGTGCATGTGATGGTGCATGTGATGGTGCATGTGATGGCGCATGTGATGGCGCATGTGATGGCGCATGTGATGGCGCGTGTGATGGCGCGTGTGATGGCGCGTGTGATGGCGCGTGTGATGGCGCGCGTGATGGCGCGCGCGCGTGATGGCGCGCGCGCGTGATGGCGCGTGTGATGGCGCGTGTGATGGCGCACGTGATGGCGCACGTGATGGCGCACGTGATGGCGCACGTGATGGCGCACGTGATGGCGCACGTGATGGCGCACGTGATGGCGCACGTGATGGGGCACGTGATGGCGCACGTGATGGCGAACGTGATGGCGCACGTGATGGCGCACGTGATGGCGCATGTGATGGCGCATGTGATGGTGCAAGTGATGGTGCATGTGATGTTACATGTGATGGAACAGCTGCATCATCATCAGCATGAGTACTGGGATGGCATCATCACCACCACCATCCCTACCAACCATCATCATCCCAACCATAATCACTACCATCATCACTACCATCATCACTACCATCATCACTACCATCATCACTACCATCATCACTACCATCATCACTACCATCATCACTACCATCATCACTACCATCATCACTACCATCATCACTACCATCATCACTACCATCATCACTACCATCATCACTACCATCATCACTACCATCATCACTACCATCATCACTACCATCATCACTACCATCATCACTACCATCATCACTACCATCATCACTACCATCATCACCACCATCATCACTACCATCATCACTACCATCATCACCATCATCACCATCAGCACCATCAGCACCACCATCATCACCATCAGCACCACCATCAGCACCACCATCATCACCACCATCATCATCACCATCATCATCACCATCACCATCATCATCACCATCATCATCACCATCACCATCAGCAGCACCACCATCATCACCATCAGCACCACCATCAGCACCACCATCATCACCACCATCATAGCCACCATCATCATCACAATCATCATCACCATCATCATCACCATCACCATCAGCAGCACCACCATCAGCACCATCAGCACCACCATCAGCACCACCATCATCACCACCATCATCGCCACCATCATCACCACCATCATCATCACCATCATCATCACCATCACCATCATCATCACCATCACCATCACCATCAGCAGCACCACCATCATCACCATCACCACCATCAGCACCACCATCATCACCACCATCATCGCCACCATCATCATCACCATCATCATCACCATCACCATCACCATCACCATCACCATCACCATCATCACCACCATCATCACCATCACCATCACCAGTATACCAAGTTGAAGAGAGTGATGGCTTCGTGAAAGTGCTTCTTCCGCATCTGACTCCAACAGCACCCAGCAACGAGCGGCGAGCATGGCGCAGAGGGCATGGGGCAGAGGGCATGGGGCAGAGGGCATGGGGCTGCGAGCATGGGGCAGAGGGCATGGGGCTGCAAGCAGGTGACACAGAAGAGTTGCCCTGCGAATAGATAAGAGGCCCGGTGAGGCAGAGCAGCGGCTGACTGACTGACTGAGTGACTGAGTGACTGAGTGACTGACTGAGTGACGGACTGACTGAGTGAGTGACTGAGAGGGGAGAGGAGGGACGGACGAGGGCGAGGGCGGTGTGCAGCAGGGCGTGGTTGTCCACCTCGTGCTGCACCGCCCCCTCGTCATCCACATACTCATCCACCACCGCCTCCCACACAGCCTCCCCCCCCTCTCCCTCCTCCTTTCCCCTTCTTTCCTCCCCCACCCTCACTGCTACCACCAGCCTCCGCTTCTGCACCCGGGTGCTCGCCAGGTGCCTTTCCTCTCCATGCTGCGCCCTCGCCCCTCCCCCCGCCTGCAGTCCTCCCAGAACCCGACCGTCCACTCTCACCATCCCGCCCTGACCCACTCTCCCCGTCATGCCCACAACCATCACTCCCTCCACTCTGCTCTTCCTTCCTCCCCTTCACTCGCCTCACACTCTTTTCACCACAATCCCCCTGGCACTCCTCTTTTTTGCATGCCCGCTCCGTGCCTGGAGCGGGGCAGCTGGGGGAGCAGGAGGCGGGGGAGGGGCAGAGGGGTCGGAAGAGGGGCAGCGGGGGCGGCGAGGGGTGCAGCAGCACGCAGAGGTCGAGCCCGCCCAGGCGCCCCGCGTGCCGCGAGGAGGCGGCGTGGCAGCGAGGGGGGGCGGGGGGCGAAGTGGTGGTGGAGGCAGCAGCGGGGGAGGGCGCGTGAGAGAGAGAGTAGAGCTTGGTGCCTGGTATGCACGCATGGGAGAGAGGGCGAAAGGGGGGGAGTGGGGGCGGGGGGGAAGGAAGGGGGAGATGTGATGTGGTTCAAGCATTGAGCTTGGTGTTTGCTGTGGAGCGCAACTGTGGCGAATGACATGCAAGCCGCCTGCTCCCCACATGCACACACCAACCCCATGCCTTCCCCCTATGCTTCTGAATCCAGGCGAACATGTGTTCGGTTCGCCTCAAACTTTCTTGTTTTTTGCCTAAAGTGCTCGGGGCGGACATGTTCGTGTTCGCCCGAACACGTTCGTGCAAGGTCGCGGCTTCCCGAGCCGCGGCAAACACGGACATGTTCATGTTCGCCAGACTCTTCGGACGAACACAGACGTGTTCGCCCAAAAGGTCCCGCGACCCATTTTTCAGGTCGACGGTTTCACTTTGTCGACCTCGTTTTTTAGTTCGATTTCAGGAAAAGACACCCACCACAGCATACTCGTAGCGCCGCCAGCCCTAATCTTTCCTTAAACTCCAACTTTTTGGGTTGGCGCAACATTTTTCTTCTATCCTAGACCTATACTAGTTTAGGTTTGGCGCCATTAACATTTGGGGCGTTCTAGGGAAGAAACAAGGAGGGAAATTCCACCAGGAACGCCGAAATCCACTAAACTGGTTGATGTGATTATAACGAAGGCTGCTGAAATTGCGAGCACGAACATGTTCGCCTAGAATAACATGTTCGTGCTCGGGGCGAACAGCCTAAGTGTTCGCCCCCAAAGGCGAACAGGCGAACACCTTTTATTCAGAAGGTGTTCAAAGCGAACCGAACATGTTCGTGTTCGCCTCTTGCTCAACCCTACTTCTCCCATAGCCGTTGCACACACACACCCCCATGCACACTCCAACCCCATGCACACTCCAACCCCATGCACACTCCAACCCCATGCACACTCCAACCCCATGCACACTCCAACCCCATGCACCCTCCAACCCCATGCACACTCCAACCCCATGCACACTCCAACCCCATGCACACTCCAACCCCATGCACACTCCAACCCCATGCACACTCCAACCCCATGCACACTCCAACCCCATGCACACTCCAACCCCATGCACACTCCAACCCCATGCACCCTCCAACCCCATGCACACTCCAACCCCATGCACACTCCAACCCCATGCACACTCCAACCCCATGCACACTCCAACCCCATGCACACTCCAACCCCATGCACACTCCAACCCCATGCACCCTCCAACCCCATGCACACTCCAACCCCATGCACACTCCAACCCCATGCACACTCCAACCCCATGCACCCTCCAACCCCATGCACACTCCAACCCCATGCACACTCCAACCCCATGCACACTCCAACCCCATGCACCCTCCAACCCCATGCACACTCCAACCCCATGCACACTCCAACCCCATGCACACTCCAACCCCATGCACACTCCAACCCCATGCACCCTCCAACCCCATGCACACTCCAACCCCATGCACACTCCAACCCCATGCACACACAACCACTACCTTGACGACCTAGCTCATTCTCACCGCCCTGAACCATGCAGCACCACCCTGCACCTCGTATCGTAATGTGGGCAGGCAGCAGTGAGCAGGAGGGCGGGGGTCCACCCACCCACCTTTGTGACCCACCTTTGCGCACAAAGGGGCGCAGGCACGTGGCAGGGGCGGGGGGGGTGCGCGGCAGCGAGGCAAGGTGCAGCGCGGCGGGGCGAGGGGGCAGCGAGGCGAGCAGGCTCAGCTCCTCGTCGCACAGCGCGCTGCTCCTGGGGGGGGAGGGGGGAGGAAGGCGCGCACCGCATGGAGTGGGGGGGGACAGGAGGGGAGGGGGGAGGGGAGATGGGAGAGCGGGGGTGCAGCAAGGGGAGGGGACGGAGGGGCAGGGGGGTTAGGGAGAAGAGAATTGAGGCGGCGTGGCATGAAGGATGGCAAGATGCAGAGCATTGCGCTGAGAGGGGCAAGGGGGAAGAGATAAAAGGAGGAGAATTTAGGGTTTAGATGGAATCATCAAGAGGGAGAGATGGGGCAGTGAAGAGGCACGAGCGAGGGGCTGAAACTGGAGGGAAGGGGATGGAAGCGAGCGGCGAGTGGAGAGGAAAGGAATGAGGGTGCAGCGATACTCGCGCTGGGAAACCAAAATGGCTGACGTCAGCGTGACGCGACTACCAGGTAAGTGCTTGTAAGGAGGGGATGAGGCCTTGCGTGGCGCGCGACCACTGGTCGTGGGTGCAGATCTGCCGCGAGTCCAGCAGCACAAACCCCGACGCATCTGACGACGCCCAAACGCCGGCTGATCTCGTATCTGCTGACGTGGCGACATCTGATCCGCCGATGGGCAGGGAGCCACGGCCCGTGTAGTGGCGGCCGTTGAAGATGCTGCAAAGAGTGAAGTTGAGCGACAGGCATAGGAACGTCGCGCGCACTGCACGCATTCTGGCGCCCGCCGGAGGCCGCAGGTCGGCGGCAAACGGAGGGGAGGGCTCGATGGAAGCAGTGCCAGCAACGCCGGGCGTGGGCCGCTTGGCAGCTCAGTTCTGGGGTTGAAAATTGGGGGAGCAATAGGAGCGTCAAACAGGATGGAGGACGCAGGGCGTATTCAAATAGCTCATTCGTAACACACTAGACTAGCCTTTTGGATGGATGCGCCCCCGAACATTTTGTTATGAGGGCGTTAGGGCGTGTTACATATTTCGAGAGAGGTTAAATCCAGACATTCATCCGAAAACGGTTCGGATGCTGAATATCGGATGGTCCAAGTCCAATGTCCGAACTGAGCCTCGTCCAGATGTCGATTATGACACTTTTCCTACTTATGAAAACATAAGGTTCTTACAAAACAGTAACATTTATTACGACAAATGTACCGTATAACCCCGGATATAAGCGCCACGGCGCTTATAATAAAATCGGTTTTTTTAGGGGTGGCGCTTGTAATTGAATAACGGCCATAAGCGCCGGCGCTTATATAATGACAAATACAAATTTATACTTTAAAGGTACCAAACTGTACCTTTCATTGTTGCCATTTCAAACGAGTCGAAATAATATAGCGTCACAAAGCAGAATCGCGCGCAAGCGATTCTGCTTCCTGTACACGGGCAAATTCGCGTCACTTCGCAGGCATGCCAGCACATCCTGACTGGACGCGCAGCCAGTCTGGTCTTCGCGAGTCAAACGAAGCGAAAATGAATTTTGACTCGCTGCAAAACTGAAATTCGTTACCGATTAAAACTGAGATTTAAATTAAAAATGGGGGGGCGCTTATAATAAGTAATGGTTTTCCAGGGGGGGCGCTTATAATCGAGTTTCGGCCATAAGCGCCATGCTCCAGATAGAAGCGCCGGCGCCTGTAATAGGCCGGCGCCTATATCCGGGGCCATACGGTAACATTTAAGTGAATCGTCGACTCGTTTTTGTCGGCCAGTAAAATTGCGGACTGTTACGTGAGAAGAAACGAGGAATGGAATGACTAAGTGAAAGTTGGGTACAAGAGGCAAACCCTAGAAAACTGTACCCCATATGTGCTACCCCACTATAGCCTAAAGTAGCTATGTCATATAAATCTGACACACCCCCATAGGCAAAGTGGGGGAGAACAAGGGGTCACAAGACCAGTCAAGCAAAGCAAAGCAAAACAAGCTCAGGGTGGATCACAAAGTCACCACACATTCCGAGCACAAGTTCAAGGCCACAAGGCCAGTTCACAAGCAGGAGTACACATATATATAAAAAAGGCTAGACAAACAAGAGCAGGTATATATATATGTAACAGTACAAGCAAGGTCAAGAGGTGAGCAAGTGAGGCAAGGTAGGCACAAGGCCCAGCTGAGTACAGAAGCGCTGATGGTCACAAGGCGCAAGTGCCTTGGTGAAGATATCAGCAGTGTTGGCCTCAGAGGCCACGTACGCAAGACGCAGCTGACCACGCTGCTGCAGCTCACGAGCAAGAAAGTAGCGGAGAGCAATGTGCTTCGTTCTGTGCTTCAGTCGCTGCTCCCGACACAAGGCCAGCATGGCCTTGTTGTCTACGAACAGCACTGGAGGAGAACGAGGCAACTCTCCGAGGTCAGTCAGCAGGTAGGTGAGCCAGCGAAGCTCCTGTGCAGCCATGGCTCCTGCGTAGATCTCAGCCTCACAACTGGAGCCGAGAACAGAAGACGAGCGAGTAGCCCGCCACGAAACAGAGCCGGAACCAAGGCTGAAGGTGTAACCCTGTGACGACCGCTGCGTAGCCTGGTCGTCAGCCCAAGAAGCGTCTGCGTGCCCAGTAAGGACCACTGGACTCTGCCCTCCAAGCACAAGCCCCATGCCCGACGTACTGCACAAGTAGCGCAACACCCTCTTCGCTGCAGCCATGTGCTCCGGTCTGTGTCTCCCAGGAGCAACATAGCGTGCAAGAATGCTAAGAGGGTATGCAAGGTCAGGTCGTGTGCAGGTCATCAGGTACATGAGGCAGCCAACAAGCTCTGGGTACGGGCCACTCGACTCTACGGACTCATCCGAAGGCAGAGCTGAGAGCGAGTGGCGAGTAGGCACAGGAGTGGCCTGAGGCGAGGAGTACGTGAAGCCGAAGCGCTGAAGGACCTGCTGCACCATGTGTGACTGAGTCAGGGTAATGGTGCGGCGTGCTCTGTCCCGAGTGATCTGCAAGCCAAGGTAGCTGCGCAGTTCACCCAGGTCAGTGCACATGTGTCTCTTCTGCAGCTCGGACTTCACGTGGGCTAGTCCAGCAGTGTCAGCTGTGGCAAAGACCAAGTCGTCGACGTACACGAGGATGTAGAACGGCGGCAAAGAAGTGTCGGTGCGCAGAAACAGCGACGGGTCGGCAGTAGAGGGAGCAAACCCAAGAGCCGCAAGTGTAGTCCTCAGTGTGTCGTGCCACTCACGCGGTGCCTGGCGGAGACCGTAGACTGGCCGCCGTAGGCTCCACTGGGTGCCAGGAGGAAAAGACCCAGTGAAGCCAGGTGGGCGACGCAGCCAGATCTCCTCGTGCAGGCTGCCCTGCAAGAAAGCAGTGCTGAAGTCAAGAGAGTGTAGCTCGTAGTCACGGTGAGCAGCTACGTGCAGCAGTACCCGAAGATTGGTCATCTTCGGGGTGGGAGAGAAGGTCTGAAAGTAGTCAACTCCCTGCCGCTGACTGAAGCCACGAGCCACGTAACGCGCCTTGAATACAGGCGGAGAACCCGGCGGTCGCTTCACCCTGAAAATCCACATGCCACTGACGATGTTCGCCCCAGGAGGGGGAACAGCGTCAACGTAGGTGCCTGTGGACTTCCAGGAAGCCATCTCTGCGTCCATAGCTGCCTGCCACTGAGAGGAGTAGGGACCCTCTATCGCCTCCGCGTAAGAGCGCGGAGTCGGGATGTCAAGTGCATCCGGGTCTCCCTCAGGGGTAAGCAGTACGGACACGAGATGAGGTGAAGCAGCGGCCAAGCACTGGAACTCCTCCTGCCTGTCCTCAAGGACGTCCGTGCTAAGGGCACACTCACCCCCGACGGACGGGGGACAGACAGACTCAGACTCAGCAACAAGACTGGTGACGTAGTCTAGGCGACAGCGAGCAGCAAAGTCGACGAGCTCAGCAACTAGAGCAGACGCAGCAGTGGACTCAAAGGAAGGGTCAGTGACAACCGTAGCAAGGAGACGCGTGACAGTAGGACTGGCAGCGCGAAGAGAGTCCGACTCCGGGTCGGCAAGAGTAGGAAGAGAAGACTCAGGAGGAGAAGGCAAAGGGGCACGCAGAGGAGCAGTGGACGGACGCAGAGACATCCGGTGCGTGCCAGGGACAGGAGGAGGACGCTGACGCGAACCGCGACCACTAGTGCGAGCAGCACGGACAGGCGACGCAGGACGAGACGCAGGCTCACGACGCTCAGCAATACCTCCAGTAGGACCAGTGTAGGGAGACGGAGCAGGCAGTGGGGAGGCCGGCTGTAACTGTAACTGCGACGGGACAGGCTGTGGACACTCTAAGGGAGGAGGAGGACCAGTAGAAGGCGGGAGACCAAGAACCTGCTGAAGGAGCGGAACGAAGTACGGCCGAGGCCGCGCGGCGACTCCAGACACAGGAGGGACAGCACCAGCACCCCCAGGGGCAGCACCAGCACCAGTAGCAGCTCCAGCTCCAGAACCCCCAGCAGCACCAGTAGTACCCCCAGCAGGACCGCCTCCAGGACCGACAGCAGTAGCCTCCGCGCCAACACCCGCAGCAACTCCAGCTCCAGAAGTACCCGCAGGTCCAGCAGCTCCAGTACTCCCAGTACGAGCACCTCCGGGACCCGTGGCACCAGCTCCCTAAGAAGCAACAGAATCTCCAGTACCCGCAGCACCTCCAGCTCCAGCAGCTCCAGCAGCTCGCCTCCAGCGCCGGGCAAACCACTCACGCAGCTCCTGGGGAGAGAGTGGCTCCCGGCGAGAGGGAGCACCCGGTGAACCGCCAGGCACAGCACCACCAGGCGTAGCACCCCCAGGCTCAGCACCTCCAGGCGTAGTACCCCCAGGCTCAGCACCCCCAGACGCAGCACCCCCAGGCTCAGCACCTCCAGGCGTAGTACCCCCATGCTCAGCACCCCCAGTCGTAGTACCCCCAGACTCAGCACCCCCAGGCTCAGCACCCCCAGGCTCAGCACCCCCAGGCGTAGCACCCACACGCTCAGCACCCCCAGAGTCAGCACCCCCAGGCTCAGCACCCTCAGCAGCACCAGAGTCACCAGCGACCTCGACAGGCTCAACAGCGTCTACCTGGGACACACCTGAAGGGGCAGGACCCTGAGGGGGGAGGGGGTCTACCGGGGGGGGACCTGGTACAAGGAAGAGCGGTGGCGGGGGGAGGGACGGAGTGCGGTAGGGGAAGAGGCGGTAGTAGGGGACCGACTCGTCGAACGTGACGTCCTGGGAGGACAGAACACGGCGAGAGGTGGGGTGGTAGAACTGCCACCCTGGGGCGTCAGGGGGGAAACCCAGGAAGACGCAAGGAGCAGCACGAGGGGACAGCTTGTCCGCAGACAAGTCGCGGACAAACGCCCGAGATCCCCAGACACGGAACGCAGACGCATCGCCAACCTTCCCCGTCCACAGCAAAGCTGGGGAGGTCTCCGGCATGGAGACCCTGGGCTGAAGGTTGATCTGATGCGCCGCGTACCGAACCGCAAACGGCCACAGAAAATGGGGGGCAGCCGCATGCATCATGGACGTACGGGCGACGTCCATGACCATGCCAATGCGGCGCTCAGCAATCCCATTTTGCTGTGGAGAGTCCGGAAGCGTGAAGGTCTGGCGGATGCCTCGTGCACGACAGTAGGCTCGCAGAAGGCCAGAGGAGAACTCTCCGCCTCTGTCAGAGTGCAGACGCAGAACAGGAAAGTCCGAGCCAAAGCTCCGCCTGAGCTGGAGACGAGCTGCGTGGATCCAGTCGATCAACACCTCAGTGACA